AAACCCTTGACCCCTAAACCCTTGACCCCTAAACCCTTGAACCCTTGAACCCTAAACCCTTGAACCCTAAACCCTTGAACCCTAAACCCTTGAACCCTTGAACCCTAAACCCTTGAACTCTAAACCCTATACCCCTTCAGCCCGAGGACGCAGTGCTTTCCCAATCTGCGGAGTTGAGCGATGAGGCGCGTCGTCGAGCTTCCGAGAGCCCAAGCTACTGCAGGGGCCTCAATAATTACCAATACTATTTTGGGGGTTCCTTATTATAATAATATTATAATGGGCCCCAAAACCCTATGAGAGCCCAAGCTACGGGGCTGGGTTGACGCTTAATGTAGTGTTTTTTGTTCAGGGGGTCTAAACCCTAAACCCGAAACCCTGTTTTTTGTTCAGGGGTTCTGGTTTTTGGAGGGTTTTCGGTTTCGGCGGTGCTGAGGGTTTTGGGGAGGGTTGAGGGTTTTGGGCTTTCGCATGTCAACCCGCAGGCCATCACATGGCACCAGAGCAACGCCATTTCGTAAAGGGTTATGGGCCTAAATTGATGGCTTAGGGTTCTGTGAGGGTTTCGGATATAGGGTTTCGGATTCTAGAAGGATTGAGGGTTGAGCGTGAAGTTGCCGCCTGACTCAGGCTGTGAAGCCCTGAACACGCGCGCGGCGCTGAAGAACGGGCTTGTAAACTCGATTGAATCCTCCAAACGCACGGTCTGGGCCATGTCGCCCCAAGGCAGCAACACCTGAGTTTATTGACTAGCAACCCTAAACCCTAAACCCTAAACCCAACACCCTTACCCCAGCGGCCCAGCGCTCTGTTCTTCTGGTGACCCCACTAACCGACACCCGTTGAAGCCCTGAGCCCAAACCCCCAAAATTTCTGAAGAACAACCAAGCCAAAAGCAACACCCTCCAGGCACTCCCATAAGGTTTCTAAACCCAACTCTCTTAAACCTACAGTGCCATCTCCCTTCTAACCCAACTCTCTTAAACCTACAGTACCAGGAACCCCATCCCCATCCCCTCCCCTCTAGCCCAGAGCCCAGAGACTCCAATATCCCTATAATTAAGGAATATACCTTAAATTTTCATAAATATCCCTATAATTTAATTAAGGACGGAATATCCCTTAAATTTTCATAGGAGCCCTAACAAGATTCAAGGTATATTCCTTAATTAAGGGATATTGGAGTCTCTGGGAGCCCCTAAACCTTAAACCCCTAAACCCCTACACCCCCAAACCCTAAACCCCTAAGCCTTAAACCTAAATCCCCTACAGAAAACCCCGAAATAGAGCCCCTTTAAGGCCCGAAGAGGACCCCCCACTCTTCTCTGGAGGAGCTGGGCTCCATCGGCGCCCATCACTTCGGGGATCAGGCGCCCCGCGGCTTCGGGTTCCCAGCTACCAGGTATCGACTGGGACGGGTGGGACCTTATTCCCCTTTTTCAGGGTTCAGGTTCCCCTTATAAAGTCCTTTAAGCCAAAAAGGGGCACCCTTTTTCATTCCTAGGTTTCTCTTGGGTCTAGTCGATGTGGGATATGTTGAACTGTCGTTTATTGTCGTTTCAGGGTTTAGGGTTTAGGGTTTAAGATCGATTCGGGATATTTTCGATTCAAGTTTCCTTTGTTGTTGATTTTGGAGCCCTAATGGCCCTAATTCTAAATAGTTGTGGGGGCGGCACCTGGATTAAGGAATGCCACCTTAAGCTCGAGGTAAGGATCTACAGCCTCAAGAAGTGCGAGCCTCGGACAAACGCTCCGCCAAACCCGAAAGGCTGTAGACCCAAAAATGTAGTGCTGTTCAATTTCTTTCGGTTAGGGCTTAGGGTTTAGTGCTGTTCATTGTTTGGATAGCCAGTCTCTGAATATATGAATCCTGGCCATTCCTCAACCTCAGGAGTCCTCAGTGAGGTTTCAGATTGGTACGTAGGATTTGACACATCTGCTTAATGGGATTTCGTAGGTTTGATAAGTCTCATAACGCAGTTTTTGAAAGCTGCCAAGCACCTTTACCGGTCTTTCTCATCACCCGTTTAGTAACCCGCACAGACCCCGTGAATAGGGGTTTTGGGTGCTAGAGGGATCTGAAGGGCTTAGGGCTCCAGGGGAAGGATGTCGTAGGGTCTAAAAAAGGAAACGATTGGGGAAGATCTCGGGTGCTTCAGTCGCTTGGCTACTCTGTTGCAGGGAGCACCAGGGGATGGAAGCATAGGGTTTAGGGGGGCTTTACGGTTTTCATGGGTTTAGGGATCTTAGCGATTGTATTTTGGGGGAGGCTGCAGGGCTTGGCTCTCGGGTGGCAAGAATTTGGCTTCCGAAGTCGGCGCTCTGACCTTTCTTGGAATTGTCGTTTGATGCACGTCGTGCTTTCGCCATCATTCTTCCGAAGCTAGTGCTAAACGAAAAAGTAGCCCTACTTCACATGAAAAATTAAACCCCTTAAATAGAACGCTAAACCCTAAAACCCTAAAGCCCTAAACCCTAAGCCCTAAAACCCTAAACGCTAAACCCTATAGACCCTAAACCCTAAAGCCCCCCAAACCCTAAACCCTAAAGCCCCCCAAACCCTAAGCCCTAAACCCCACAAAATAAAAAGGAGCCCCTTAAAAAACAAAAACGAAACCCTTCAAAACCGGGGTCGCGGCGCGCCCTCGGCCTCTCCGGCCACTTCTGCAGGCGCTCGAGCACCTCAAAGCTTTATTTGTATTATTATTATTATCAATATTATTAGTATTATCAATATTATTAGTATGATTGTTATTAGTATTGTTAGTATTGTTAGTATTATTGGTATTGTTAGTATTATTAGTATTATTTGTATTATTTGCATTATTTGTATTATTAATATTAGCGTTATCTTTAATATTCTTGTAAATACTAGTATGTTATCTAATAGTAATATTAATATTTCTATATGATTATTATTATTATTACTATTATTATTACTACTATTACTATTACTATTATTATTACGAAACTATTATAGTAATTATTATTACAAAGGAAGCTGAAAATCACGGATCCGGCAGGACAACTCAACGCGCAGACGTCTGAGGCGAGTTCAATTACGCTGAAGAGGTTTCCGTGACTTCGGCAGGGATGCCGCCAAGTATGCGGCAGAGATCCCCGCGACCCCGGTCCCCTCCCAGAGCCGTCAAAGTAAAACCCTAAAGCCTACTTCGGTTCTTGAGCCGCCTTCAGGACTCGAAAGCAACATGCGCAAAAAAGCGGATTCTGAGGCGTCTTGCAGGATGGTTTTAGCCAACACTTGCATAAGAGCAATAAACCCTCCGTTCCCGACATGCCTCTGAGAAACTCCACGAAAGCCGCAGAAACTAAAGCCGCATCGCGAAATACAGCCTTGCTTGCATTTCGCCGAGGATCTGATTGACCCGGGAGGTCGGTTCGCCTCCGAGGAACTGCTGCGTTGCAGCGGGCTTTTGATGCTTCAGGGGCGTCTGATTCGAAGGAGGGGCTTGGGAAGCTTGAAAATTGGGGGGGGGGGGGGGGGNNGGCGGGTGTATGGCATGCCTGCCCAGGGGAGTTGAGGCACTCAGGGTCGCTTCGACAGCCGAGTCCTTCGCAGCTTCCTTTCTTAGATTTTTGCGGTGGGAGTCGAAGTCCCAGGGTCCCCGAGCCAGTCCGTCCGGCTCCGACGACCCTTTGCTTTACACAACCAGGGCTGAAAGGAGCCAAGCTTTCCCTCAAGAAAGCAAAGCAGCGAGCCTTGAGTTGGCCTCAATGTAGCCCTTGTACTGGCGCCAGGGGGGGCACTGGGGGGAAGGGATAGTCCGTAAGGACAACACCCAGGGCCTTAGGGCCTCACAGGGCTTTAGGGCCTCGGGGATCATAACAAGAGTGGCCATGATAAGGGACAAGTTGTACAGCTGTACCCTTTCGTCCTAATTGGAGATGGATTGCCGGGCCATCAGCAGATTACTTCAGCCTGCCAAGCATGATCATGAGCCTGCTCGCTTTTTGAGCCTGCAAGTGGGGTTCACCTAAGCAGACCTTGAATCTGAAGCTCTAAACCCTTAACCCGAAGAACGCCCACCGTCCCAAAACCCGAGAGCTGCCAAAAAAATGAGCCTGAAACCTCCCGACTCCTGTCCTGGGCTTGGGGAGTGTCCTCCACCCTCGCAGGCAGGAAGCCTCAAAGCTGCAGGGGGTACTCGCTTTCTTGAACTTCGGGCCTATCAGAGACTGAAGCTCTGCTGCCACATCTTTCCGCCGACTCTTGCCGAGGAAACACTCTTGCCCAAAGACTGGAAGCTGGCAAGGCCTACGTAAGGCTCATCATGTGGGCCCTGGCTGACAATCCCATCCAGGCACCTTCAACAACCTCAACTCCCCCAGGGCCCCAATTACCTGACAACTGTGGGCCAGCTCTGGATCATGCTGCAGCTCTGTCGGCGCATCGAGGGTGCATGTGGCCACTTGACGACCGGCTCCAAGGTGGGGTTGCTCTGAAAGATCAGCTCCTGCCGAGCGCTCTGGCACGCCGAACTCAACCATGCTGCTTGCCTGCTGGACATATCGGGTACAGCGGTGCTGGCCAAGCAACTAACATACGCAGACACAAAATCCATACACTACAAACAACTCTTGTGGTCTCTGCATGCCTTTGCTGCGCAGTCTCCTGCAACGATGGCAGGTCTAAATCTCTCTCCCGACCAAGGCCGTGATGGAAGGCCTCACGAGGCATAGAATAATCAAGTCTGAATCTATCAACCAGGCTTTTTCCTGCATGCCAGTGCCAGCAGTGCACCAGGTGGCAGTGCACGGCAATACAGCAAGGCCGCAATGCGATGCACATGATACTGGTGCATTCCAGACGCGTCAATTTCCCTCTGCTGTGAGAATGCCAGCAATGAAGATGCTGCGATGACCATGAGTCTGCTACCACGAACACATTCCTAACGTCTCCCGTGCTGCATCCCCACACACACACACCTCCATACACTTTTTGCACTGGAAACGAAATTGCTGAAAATCTGATCTATCTTGCATGCAGTCGGCTGCGATGGCTCCGAGAATGCCCCGAGGGTTGCCCACATACCTGCAAGAGGATGGGCTCATGGTCGAGGGTCTTGGATCGGTCCTGGTGGTTTCAGTTCGAACGTGCTGCGAGGTACTCATCAACATTCTAGTCTGGTTGAGTCCTGCAGACGACGAGAGGCCGAACTACTCAGAACCGGGTTTGGGGGCATGTTATCCTGATCTACTCTACGACAGGCTTTAGGTAAGACTACTGCCTGTCACTGAAAACATGTTAAACCTGCTTTGCTACCCAAGTTTCAGGGACTGCTAACCTTGCCACCGTATCGACACCGTATCGAAGTAGCAGTGGTTTTCCGCAGCTCGCAGCGGAACAACCCCGACAACCCTGAACCCAAGGCCAAGGGCTGAGGCGAAATCAAACTCTAAGCCTTACCTTTAGTCGTACTGGCAGAGCACGCCCTGGCAAGCCTTGCGCTGGTCCGATCAAAGCGAACGCGCCACCACATGGCATCTAAGAGCAGGGGCCTCAACGACGCTGGGTCATTCGATTTAGGGCATTCGGGTAAGTCACAAGTCACAGTCAGGCAATCCTTGCAGTATTGCAGGCCCGTTGGCCCGCGAACTCCCTGTTAAACGTAGCTGCTCGTCTCCCGTAAGAGAGAAGAGAGAAGCCCCACTCGTGTTGCAGCAAGGTGCAGATGCCTGTACATGGATGAAGTCATGAATGTATGCACATATTCAGACAGAAAACGCGTAATGTATGGACCTCTATGAGCCTAGGTCTTCCTGGCAATCCTTTCACTATGTACGTGTAGGTGGGTGGATGTGAGGTACGTAGGGAGGGAGGCAGGCAGGTAGGTAGATAACGCACAGACACTTCTATGCATACATCGACAACGGCTGGCAACTCCTCAGCCTAGCGCTAGCATTGAGCAGTTGTCTCTGTTAAGCCCCCCAAGCCGAAGCCAGTGACTGCGTCCGTACTTCGTCCCACCAGGCCTATAGGGCTGCTCGTCCAGCGGATCGACTTTCTGCTCAAAGAAGCTCGACATCTTCTCGAGATCCTGGTGATCAGGTTCAAGGCGGCAAGAACCCCAAAAAGTCCGGCAAGCACTCATCTCTGCAAAAACTCAGCAAGGAAGCATGACGACTGCATCTTCCATGGCAGTGGCTCAAAACATAAGAGAGCCAGCTCACACCTCCCGTACCAAGCACCGCCAGAAACCTGTCATCCAGAAACCTTTCGTTCATGCCCGAGCGACGCGAGGCTGAAAAAAGCAAACCTCCCACTGGCCTGGTCTGGCTTGTACCAGAAGACGCAGCCTTCCTTTTCCTTGGCCAGGACCTCAGCTCCATGTGAAAGGGCTTTTTAAAACAAGGTCCTTTGAGGGGTTGCGTGGCCACAGGCTTGAAGATGCAGGGACGCACAGCGGAAGTACATCGTCAGGTTGTGCCACTTGGGTGGCGGTTTACAGCCAAAACCCTGGTAATGTAATGGCCTGCCTACGTAGCGGTGTGGGAGCAGGTCTGCTGAGAGCTTTGCGAACTGCAAGAAGTCGTCGGAGAACTCAGATCGATACAGCCTCGGCGAAGCAAACCGCCACATGGCCTCCTGGGCCAGTCTGTGGAACCTTCAAAGGCCGCTCATAGTGCCCCTTGCGGTAGACGCATGGAGCGTTGTTGCTCTGCTCTTTCTGGGAAGGCTTGCCCCAGGCCTAAACTCAATTCTGCCGACAGATGCTGTTATTCGAAGCCATCTGCCACAAACCCACAGAGTTCGGAAGCAAAAGCAGCAGCAAGGCCCCGACGCGGACAAGCCAGACTTCGGCGCAGAACTCGGCTTGCCCTTCTTGCCATCCTTATTGCGACGTGCTCATGTGTGCTCTTTGGATTCGTTCCCAACTCCACTCCAGACTCCGAGATGGGAAGCAGAAGGAAGCTCATGACATGCTGCCCCGCAGAGCTTGGTCTCCGCACAACGTTTGTCTCGACCCGCGCCTGTAGCCGAGTTCGGCGGACCTTGCTGCACAAGGCTGTGTAAAAGTATGACACTGCCGGAGTCGGGGAGTGACTTGGAGTTTTATCAGATGCCCTGAAGCTCCCGCTTCGGCTGGAGAAGCAAACCTGGAGCCACATTCAGAATCTCAGAATGGTGCGGAAGGCGGATCCTTGAAGACCTCACAGCTGTGAAAGAACTCGTCTTTTCATGGGCAAGACATCGCAACGACATGTTACCAGATTGAGACATGGATTGCTCTCACCCTTCCTGAGCCCACTCATCGACCAAGGACCCCGCGAAACTCCGCGCACATCGAAAAACGAGTAGTGACGACTCCTTGGCCGCCAGCGGCAGCGCCTATGTGGGAGAGGATCGAGGCGGGACCAATGGATCGATTCCAGGCAATGTGGCCTCTCGGCTAGCTTGTGGAGCAGTCAGGGGTCTAGAGTTTTTGCTATTCCTTCACCCGGTTTGAGGCTTTTCAAGCTTTTGGGGCCTGGGACTGCTCAACTCAGAAAACCCAAAATCGAAGTGTGTCCTGAAACTGGGAGGTAGCTTCTGGCCTCGCTGGCCTTGGAATCCCTGGAACCCTCCCCACTCCCAGAACCTTTGATTGGTAAAGCTGGGAGACTTGACTTGCGGCTTCCCCGAAGCACGAAGAAACATGCAGCACATGCCTGGAAGTGCTTGCTAAGAGCTGTAGGACATAGGAAAACGTACCTTGAAGGATCAAAGGCGAGGGCAGCCGTCCAAGCTTCTGCTTCTGTCGAAACCAGCTGCGTCCAAATTGCCGTCTGGTCAGATCGATGCGACTTCGCTTCATCTGCGACATCGTTTTGGCCTCCTGAAGAGGATTTCGAACGCTAGCTAGCAGGTTTCCCCATGGAAGCATGCTTCCATCCTGTACTGAACTTGGATTCAGGAGGAGCTCCACTTTCGGGCGCAAGTGTCACAACAGTCTCTTCAGACATGTTGCTCGAATGTTCTCTTGTGCACCGTCGGTTTCTTCAGAAGTGGATGGCTTTCGCAAGCGCAACTTGCCGGATGCGAATTTCAAGAGCCCAGTGCCAAAAGATACCTTACAAAACCAAAACGGCCTGCAGAAAGACCTCAAGGTCCCGGCTACTGAGCGGCTACTGGGACTCCCTGAACCCTCAACCCCTAAACCCTAAACCCTAAACCTCTAGGTTCAGCATCCACAGAAATCCCCCAGCCCCAGTGCTTTTCAGGCCGTCCTCAAAGAGGCTGCCCCCGAAGTCATCCTGGTAGCTGCAGCTCTCTCTCCCTGTCTCTCTCTCTGTCTCGCCGGCGCGTTGAACGGTTGGGGATGTCGTGTTAGTGTTATTATATACCATTATATATCGTTATATATATATATATAATTATTATTA